TTCTAGTCGTTTAGCAGCACCGCAACTTAAGTCTTCCTCTCCTCCTAGAAAAACTCTCTCTGGGCGCCGTATCATTGCTCCAAACTCAGTTACTACCTCACTTTCTCCTTCTCATATCTTGCGCTCTACTTGTGCCCCCACTACAAAGAGATCTGCTGCTCAGACGGCTGCTCGATCAGCTGTTCGCAAAGCTACGGCAAGGGTTTCTGCTAGGCGAAATCAGCAGACAAAAACGGAACCTGGCAAAGCAAGCCCTCCTCCCAGCTCGTCACCATCGCCAATCAATCATGAAACGAAGAAACGTCGTGGAAGACCGCCGCGTAAGTCCTTGGTTTCCGGAGACACTGCTTCACAGGAGCCCCCTGCTCCATCAGCGGAAATGACTCCAAAGCAGGAACCGCCTAAGTCTCCTGTACCAATTAAACAGGAGGCTGTGAAGCCGAAATCACCTCCTGCTGTCCCAAGAAGTACGGCAACATTGACATCGGCATCTTATTGCGTTCGTCCATCGACGATTGTCGGCTCAGTGCTCACCACGTCGGCATCGCCGTCACCGTCCCGTCATCCTGCTCTCTCCTCTTCACCGTTCAAGGCACCAGTTCCACCACAACCGCGCTTTCCTGTACGTACACTGTCGCGGCATTCACAGCTCCCACTTCCTCCTTCGTCTCCTCTCTCCAACATGACTTCTGCTCGTACTCCTTTCCAGTCATCTCCAGTTCGTCTTCCTGTGCGGGTTCTGCAGTCCCCTCCATCAACATCGCGTCCCTCTAGTCAACCTGTAAGCGTCAGTGGTTCATCAATCCAGTCTTCACCACCGTTGCTTGTCCGACGACCAGGCACCCTCGCTCGTGTTGCTGTGCCGGTGAGCACGGTGCCAACCCAACGAGCTCACCAACGCTATGTGGTGGTGGGTCGTTCGGCTAACAATGTGCCTGTAGTGATGCCAACAACGGTCCGCCATAGTGGCGCTGTGCCAGTTCGACGGGTTATAGTGCAGGCAAGGGCTACCACCCAAGCTCAATCGCCGGTGATTCAACGACCTGGCCTGGGCGAATACGAGAGGCCAAGATTGCAGTTTCGTAGTCGGACGTCAAGTCAAGACTCCACAACGGAGCAACAATAACGGGAATGATAATGTGTATACATGCTCTTATATCATGGTTCAGCATATTTTAACGTTTAAGCCCAGGATTCCGCGTTTTGCTTTCCTTTTTATGCGCGCGATCTCACATTCCGTTATGCACGGTTTCTTTAGTGCCTTGTTTAACGGTCACTTTCTTGGAGAAATTTGTTTGAAATCTGCTTTTTACAATTTTTTTCGGATTGGTAAGGTGTAAGAAACATTGATGGAGTTCTTTTCCTCTTTTTTCGTATCAAGTAGTTTAGAATCAGATCCATATTTCTCGGTGCTAATTCCCGTTCCCCTGTTAGTGTATTTATTTCGATTGATGTTAAGCAGTTGTCTTTGTACTATTGGCACAGAGGATGTCGTTTATTGTTTTCTTTTTGTTATTTCATTCATTATTTGAATGGCTCGTTTAATGATAAACGTATATTGATGACGTTGTGTGTTGGGTGTATCGCTGGTGGCCGTCGACCCGTTGATTGTGCGTCGCGCATGTGCGGTTGCGGTCTGGTCCGTCGCTCAGCGATTCGCCGCCGCCGCCGACATGTAAAGCGTGGTCGACGCGGCGTCGCATCGCGATTCACCGAACCGCAATCGACCATCGACATACGCGACCACGAAAAGTATGTAAGATAACTCGTGGTTGTGCTATGTGCCTCGGGAAAGACCAGTCTGCATTTTTGCGTCAGAAGTTTAGTAGAACTGGTCGGCTAATGCCGTTTGGACTCCAGAAATTTCGGCTCCGAGCTCATTTTAAAAGTGGCAAGATCACCAAATCCGCTAAAAACTTGTATATAGGGGTAATTCAACATCCTGATCACGAATATGACATTCATTTTTGGCGCTGGCGCTAATGGATGACACTACGGTTACCTGCGCTCTGCTAAGGCTGAGCCCAGGAGGTAATCGTAGTGTCCTCTCTTGGCGCCAGCGCCAAGAATGAGTGTCATACTCGTAATCAGGATGAATGCAAGATGGGTTGGACAGTTAACCCCTATTAGTTTTAGTGGGATTTGGTGACTTAGGCATATCTTGAAATGAGACTCGGCAAAGTCCCCGAAAATGGGTTGACGAAGATGGATCCAACGGAACTGTCAATCCGGTCTGCGGTACTTTCGACATGATGAACGGCTACATCTGTGGACGTTTGGCTCAGTAGTCTCCCGCTCCTTTTGATGTGAGTCAAACGGCATTAGCCCAGTCTGGTCAGGCTAATGCCGTTTGGACTATTAGCCCGACCAGACTGGGTAATGCCGTTTGGACTCCAGCAATTTCGGCACCGAGCTCATCTTAAAATGCCTGTCCACAAACGCTAAAACATGTACGCACGAGTTAGTGTTAACATCGTTGATACGAGTATGACAACTCATTCTTGGCGGCTGGCGCCAAAGATGATGACACTAGATTACCTCCTGGTTCAGCGCGAAATGCTGGAGTTCCAAAACGTCACTAGCCGTCTGGTCGTGCGGATGCGGCGGCGAGTCGAGGGGCTGAGTTTTGTCGTTCGGCCTCTGTTTCCAGCACTACTGCCGCTTGCCTGTGACTGGTGGAGAACGGGATGGAGCCCGCCAAAGCCAGCCCTCGTGGCACGCCCTAGCACCCGCAGCAAAGATGACTGTACTCAACTCGGAGCTCTCTTCAAAATTGCAGCTCACACGCTGACACTGGCCGCCCACGCGACTCTCAGCTGGCTCCTCCTATGATTTTTTGAGGCACATAGTACGATCCCACGGCCTTGTGCAACCAGATCTTCTCTCGCTGCGGGACTAAAGGTGTTTTCTCATTGCACCTTCTGGTTGAGCATTTGAAGGAAAGAAAACAAGGGAGAGGAAACAGGAAGAACGGAGGAAAAGAGAGAAGAAGGACAAAAGGAGGGAGCAGAGAGGCTCCACGGTTGACAGATATCCTGAGAAACGCATAGCACCCATTCGATAGTTGATCCGGAAAAACGCGAGTAGGCGCTATCAAACTGTTGAGGAGGATCATCTGAAAGTCTCCCTTCTCAGTTATTGTAATGTGAGATGCCCTTTTCCTCATTAGGGTTGGTTCACCCACTCGAGATTTCTTACCATATTTGCTTAGGCAAAATTCTTGTCGCCTGGCTCACTGTCGCTGCGGCAAAGTGCTCCTTTTGCTCGAATAACGCCATCAACATAATCAATTATTTGGTCCACATGGCTCAATTACTTAGGAAATAACTTGTAGAAAAATAGATGGTATCTTCTAGTGAGTGGGGAGTTGCTGTTGTTCACTAAGCTCGTCCGAAAAACTTCCGCGCTGAACAGCGGAATGGCTCATGGGGAAAACTAAAGCAAAAATCCATCCCGTAAGTCAAAGATTGGTCACAATGGTCGGTGTTAGCTCGTTTGTTCTAGAAGGAGCTGCGCATCCATCTCCCTTCAGAAATCATCGAATTGCGTGGGTTGAAGAGTATTGGAGAGAGAAGCGGTTGAAGGATGTTCGAAGTCAGGTTTTTAAAGACTGGTCTTTTCTCAACCCGACTTCTAAAAGCTGAAGGCTGGATTGGTCAAGGCGCAAGCTGGTCGGCGGTTCATTCCAGGTAGCTTTGAGCCCTCTCACTTTAGTTTTAACCCTGTTGTGAAAGTACGAGCATAGGCTATCCTGCTACGAAAGTAAGTGTAGACAGATCTTGCCACGAAAGTAATAGCTGAAACAGATTCTGCTACGGATGTAAGGGCGTAAACAGATAATGCCGCGAAAATAAGAGCGTAGACATGAAGCAGTGTGGTCGCCACATTACCTAAAGATGCAGGAAAGAAGTAAGGTGAATCCTGGGATAGGGAGTGAAGGGTGGGAGAGGGAAGGCGAGAAGGATGTCAAGTGTGAAAAGTTGGATTATGAGGTCAGAGAGCGCAGAAGACAGCTGAACATGCGGTTCAAGGAACAGTGTTCAAGCAGGCCGTATCGTTGATAACGTCCCAATTGTATCGGTGTCAGAAGGGCCTTCAGTTGCCTTCCCGATCTTGGAGCAAATCCTCCTTGAGACCACTCGGACTTATAGCGGCGATATCAGCTGTACCTCCTTAGCAAAATACTGGCCCTCGTACTCCGTCGTAGATCGTCATGTTTGTACTGCGTTTAACCAGAAGGTCGTTTCCGCACGTACCTCTAATTGCGCCCAGTTAAGCTGAAGATGAAATCAGGCCCTACATCGTATGATAAGGCAGTTTCAAAGAAGTTGTAGAAGAACATAGTATTGTAACTAAATTGAAAATCTATTCGCAAATAGAAGTTTGTGGCTTAGATGGAGCTCCCTATGGAATGGTGCCAGTCACTTCTAATGATAATCGAATACGATATATTGGTTGAGAGCCTTTGCAGGCAATGCGGCTCACTACT